CATAATAGCATGATCCAGGAGAAAAGTAGCTTTAATGTATTGGATATAAATTTCTAACTTAAACTCCAAGAATTATTTTTAAAATAATGCATATAAGTCACTTAGCAGAGAATGTGGCTACAGCAAACAAACACTGCATGATGCTGCTAATTCACTGTCATCAGGAAAATTATCATTAATTTAAGAGTCCCTGCTATTCAAAAAGTCAACCATCAAAGTTGTTTTCTGCTTGCGCTAATGAAAATTTTCTATCAATTTGCAGTGGTTTATTTTACTTTGCAATAAACTATCTTAAAATTCCTTATATAGGTAGGTAGGTAGATAGGTAGATGGATGTATTATTTTATTATAACTACTTTAAAGGTCCTAAAACATTTCTAACTGTTCAATATCAACAAAATCTCAAGAGTCATTTATAAATATTTTTCTTTTAAAATTTTTAGATCACTGAAACACAAATTTACACATTATGGGGTAACAACATAAATGAGAATATGGGGGAGACATATTTGATAACAACAGAAAAATTCAGAGTTCATGTTATTGTAGAAATGACAAGAAAAACAATTAATTCTACCCAAGAATCTTAATTCATTTGCTACTGAGTATGAATAATAATAAATGAATAATCAAACCAATGTCTCTCACAATATAATACTTAAAGATGCAGTATGATTCAATATAAATGCATTAATACTGTACCAAATGACAGCTTCAAGGACAAGGTATTAAATGTTAACATTCAAAAGTCATACTTCAAGTAAAGATATAAGTAACTGATTAAAAATAACCTGTAATCAGAAGGAAAAAAACGTGTGTGAAATTTCACCCTCTAAGGAAACAAAAGAGAAACACAACCAAATGTCAGATTAGTGTGAAAAATTCTCTGCACTAATGGATGATATTATAAAAGTCACTGGAACTTTCTGGATTTATGGATTACTTTAGATACATTCATGTATTTTAGTAATTATGAATAAAGACTACAGTTAATTATTTAGTTTGATTTACTGTATAAAAGTCTGTAAATGTACATTAACAAGTTTTATGGCAATAAGACTAGAACTAAATACCAAATGTAAGTATTGATTATGTGGCACAAATGTATGACTTATTTTCTTTTTTAACCTTCTCTGAATCTTCTTAGTTTTCATGATAAAATATAACATGTTTTTATCAAAAAATCTAGTTAAAAATATTTATGTAACTTCCTTACATAAGTATTTTGTCAAAATCTTCAATAAATTTTAGCCCTATTAACTACATGAGTTAATACATGAGTTCAAGACAGTCCTACAAAACTGCAAACATTACTCTGAGGCTTTGACTAGCCACTAGGAAATTCTCAGAAGAGCAACATAGTTGATCTTCTTTCATATACCACTGGAAGCAACATAGCCTGTTATAAAGAAAACTGGTCTATAAATTAGGGGGTCTTCCCCAAAATAATTCTGAGTAGTTTATAAGATATTACTGTATTTCAGTAATATCTGTCTTCCCCTATTCCTTCTAAAAATTTACTACTTATTCTATATTTTGGTTTGATATATCGTGTGTGTGTGTGTGTGTGTGTGTGTGTGTGTGTGTTAAACAAACTCTTTTGTAATACATCTTAAGCATACTGTCAAATGAGCATTGTTAAAAGGGGGAAAATAGGAAATAAAATTTAGTATTTTATATTAGCATTTATCTAACTATCTCATAAAATATACTGTATGTTTTACATTGAAATTACAGAAAAGCACTAATATCTGACTCTAAGATTGTCATAGTCACAACATCAGCAATAGTTTTTTCTTTCCAAGGTTATTCTTTCACATCTTCACATTTCTGGAGTATAGGAAAAATCTCCCCCTTCCCATTTTAATTCTGTTACACTGCCATGATCAACTTACTGACTATACTGAAATACATTAATAAGATAGTTATTTTATCAGGGAAAAGATGATTTTTAAAAAAGATAATTTTTAACATATTATCTATAGTTTCATACTTATAGTTTATTATCTGTAAAATGTTGGAAGCTCAGATTTTCAGAAAAAAACAATTGAAATGATTTTTTCATATTGCAAAAAAAGATAAATTCTAAAGTGTTTAATAAACAAGGAAGAAGGTATCCTTCTAGACTTTTTGATAAGAATATGCACTCATAGACTAATATACTATAATTTGTCATAGATTAGCTACTTCTTAAAATACATATTCAAATACACACATGTGATATGTTCTTTATAAACATAGAACATACAGTCTCATAAACATTACTTTGAAAATTTTCATCATTTTGCAATCAATCTCCAAGAAATGTTCATGAACATTTCTCTAAGTCAGGATGTATATTTGTGTTTAATTTTGCCTAGCAATTAAATAACATTCCTTGTATTAAGCCATTCACTCATTTGTTCTACAAGTATCTATTATATCTACTAAGCAGTCATATATGCCAGGCACTACTGCCAACAGTGGGAGTATGTCAAAACTCTCTGTGCTTTTGGAGGTAGCATAAAGAATTCTGGCATAGAATGGAGGCTGGGAAATGCACCATAAAGTACTTAGTCAAGTTCTGTTGAAGAATATTCATCAATGTGGTCATCAAATGTTTTATTTTTATTATTATTTAAATTGTATATAAATGATATGTGTTAATCATGTAAATATCATGTTTTTTTTTTAAAGAGAGAGAGAGAGTGATAGAAAGAGAAAGAGGGGGGGGATAATTTTTTTTTAATATTTGTTTTTTAGTTTTCGGCGGACACAACATCTTTGTATCTGGTACTGAGGATTGAACCCGGGCCGCACACATGCCCGGAAGCGCGCTACTGCTTGTGCCACATCCCAGCCCCTAAATATCACGTTTTGAAGTATACAAGTATTGTGGAATGACAAGATCCAACTAATTAGCACATAAGATGTATGTTCACTCAAGCTTATTAAGAATATATTTTTTCAATTCTGTTGATCTAAATATGCTCTTTTTTTACTTTCAGTATGGCTAAGCAGCATTCATAAGTGTACTACTCACACTTACTCTGAGTTATTCAGATACTTATTTCTCTACTGATTTCTTTTTCTTATTAATTTTTAAGTATTTAATATATTATGACTATTAAACCCATGTTATAATGGTTATAAATTTATTTCTACCAGTTTATTACTTATATTTAAAGTGTCCTTATTATATTTGTCACCAAACAAAAATATTCATCATCATCACATGGGCAACTGCACCAATTTTTCAGGTTTCAGCAATCCATGTTAGGTACATAAAAGCTGTCACCATCACAGTAATATTTTTAAAGTCAGCAGTATTTTTTCTAGTATATTTATAGTTTCATCATTCCTTTCAACAATTATAAAGTGGTAGAGGATGATCCAACCAGGTAGACAAACCAAAACCAAGAACACTATTAGTCCTCTAGCTATATAGCACTTAAAGAGATTTGCCAAAATTATTTTCCAAGAGACAATGCTGACTACTTATAGATAGATATTTACCCATCCACAACAACTTTCTGAATAATTTGCTTAATTCTACTATAGTTGAATTCCCTGTTTACTGTTAAAACTAAATTATTATCTGACTACTCTAAATAACTGTTCTCAAAGGATGCTAACTTTCAGACAGATTAAGATATGCCATTAAAATGTCAAACAGGAAATATTTTCCTAATTTACAAAGAAAAATAAGGAGGAGAATAGAATTTTCACAATTTAAAATTTTTCTCTGTGATTATTTTCATAGAGGTTTTAGATATATTTCACATCTACCAAAAAGCAGTCAAATGACCTAAAAAAGCCATCACATATAAAAGGAATAATTTTAATAAAAGATAAAATAATGAACAATGCTTATATGACAGGTTACCTTGATTGACAAATACGATTTAACTTTTGATATTTTATTGTATTTATGTAAACAATTTTTTTTGGAGATAACACTTCTCCTAATACTTAAAGAATACTTCAACATTCAGGTATTCTTTGCATACACAAGTTTGAGAACCACAAAAAAAAAAAAAAATTGACTACTGTGTTTTAGAATCTGTTCCTACAAATGAATGAAAACTGGAATGCAGATATGGAGACTGTACTCATGTTACAGTCATTTAACAAATAGTCATAGTTTATATTTTATGTAAATATTCTGAAGTAATGATGGCTTTACTAAATTTAAATGCTACATGCAAATTTATTTCTGATTCATGAGGACACACTGCAGGAATGCTTGCCTTTAAAACCCCTCCTCCTCAATAGCCAGCAACTCAGATTTGAGGTCCACAGGCCAGAGACACAGTCTACCTACTAACTCTAGGCCCATCAGGAAAGTTATTGAGACAGAACAGGTAAGAACTATGGAAACTAGCAAGATAATTACAGAACTAAAAATCTGACATGTAGTTTCAGCTTATTGCTGCCATTGGGGAGTAAAGGACCGTAATTAGCAGATATTCCCATTTCTCAAAAGGAATTAGAAATATAAATTTTATACAAAGCATCCTAAAATTTATAAGGTTAACAACATCTTTTAAAATTTTTAAAACACCCAGTGGCCGAACAAAAACCTTTAACTTCTGCTCCATCACAATTTTGCAACCTTTGCTTTAAAACAGCAATTCATCTCAAATACTCTGAAGTTGTGGTTCAATGACAGAAAAGGGCACACATTAGTTTACTTGAATTTATTGTATCCTCTTTAATATGTGAAACTCACATATTATTTGAACTCATATCTTAATATTTAATTTTTAAAAATAAATCAACAAAACCTTATGTTTAAAAAAGTAAAGGTCTTTGAAGAAAAATTCGACTATGGTACTGGTAAATCTTTACACATAACTGATTTTGTATGTAGGAAGTAAGAAAAATTATTGTTCCACTTATTCAGATTTAGAAAAAAAGAGTTAAGAAAAACAAGAGGTTTACTGTTTTTGCTTTGGCCTAACAAAATAAAGAATAACACAGTCTATCCTGCAATCAATTTTTCTACTACAATTACTTACCTAAGGATGCATAAACAAATTTTGCCTCCTGATGTGAGTCTGCAGAACCCAAATCTTTGTTTACTTTCAATGTCTGTCAGTACAAAGGTAAAGTGCTGTCCAACTTGATTTTGGGATACCCTAAAATATAGTAAAAGTATGAAACAGTAAGCCCAGTATTTTTATTTTCCAAAAGAAAGACAAAGGCAAGAATATATCTATATGTGGCATTGGTTTCATCTATCCCATCAGTTGGGTTTTTTTTATTATTTTTTTAAATTTATATATGAGAGTAGAATGTGTTACAATTCTTATTACACATATAGAGCACAATTTTTCATATCTCCCATCAGTTGGTTCTTAAAGCTGGAACTGTCTTCTAAAACTAGAATGAGTGTGAAATGTGTAAACTCACTCATGAGTCAAACATCAAGATAAATTGTAATACCTCATAGACTGAACAAATTGAGCATATGCTAATCCCTTACCAGGAAATCATAAGACAATTTGTTCTAACTTGTCATAAACTAGAAGTCCTCAGAAAATATTTGTAAATTATGAAATAACTGTTGCTGAAACTGTAGAAGAAGCTACATGTGATGACTGAGTTCTTGTGCTCAACTCTATTTTCCCAGTCTGCTTTATCCAATATTAATTGCTTATATAGCAAATCACACTGTTCCAAAATCTAAGGGCAACCACCACCCACTCTTTAAAAATTGCTTCTTTTGTTAACATTCTCAACCAATAAACTATCATAACAAACAGTGTTTTAGAGCTATCAATGTACCAAGGAATAAATTTTCAGGTAAAAAATAAGAATATGGCGTCTCCAAAGGAGCATACTGCTAAGCTGTAAATAATTTTAGCTAATTACTATCATAACACTATAATATGTGTTACACTGGGGTTTAAGTAACAGTATAAACCATTAGATAAAATCCTTACTACTAAAATATATGAATATACTTTCAGATACTAAATATAACCTTAACATTACAAGACTAATTGAACATTTGATGCTCTGTCCCAAAATTTAAAAATCCATTATTCCTTAACTTTGGTTCTAAAACAGCCATAGTGATTGTAGAAAAGAAAATAAATTATTGCCAATGGACCAATACTATGAACTATTTTGTCAGAAAATACTGAATTTCAAGTGCTGGACATTTAAGAAACATACATTAAAGTGGGCAATTTTTTTAAACTTATATTCTTCAAATAAAACTTCCGCTGACTAATGTGTCCTCTAGTGCTCAAAATGTATGATATCCTTTCACAACTTTTCTTCCTTTTTTTCATTCTTCCTATTGATTTGAAAATTTTAACTTTGGGGAAGTGAGGGTGGACAACTGAGTCCCCAGGTGTGAGGTAAAACAAGGAGTAGCATTCATCAATAATACTTATTATTATCAATTATCCCATCATCAGAAGGGCTTTATTTTTAATATAGTAAAATTTCAGTCTCACTCATCCTTAGCAAAATATTTTCCTTAAATAAATTTTTCTTAAAACTTTTCACATCACACACTTAAGAAAACTGATAATAGGGTGTGAAAGGCACATATAAAACAATAAATGATCTGTTATCATGCTCAAAGGGATATAACTCTATTAAATTCCCACTACATACAAGTAGTTCATTCAATATTTGTTCAGTAAAATACAAACAAAAGATTTCAAAAACTGCTAGAAAAGTTTTTGGAGTCTTCCATAATATTGTACTGTTTCTATGAAGCTACACTTGGGAGACAACTAGCCATGAGTATTACAACATCATACAGATGGTCTTTTCAATTAGGATGAAGTGAGATAGAAATGAGAACATATACACTTAATTTGAAAAGACACAATTCAAAGGCTCTGATCAGGGAACGTTTCTTTTATTCTGCTAGTGCTTACAATGTATACCTGAAGAATAAATGGAAGAAATACAACCTATTGGCAATACTGCTTTAAGATTTCTCCTAACTCACCACAATGGAGAAAGTAAAAGATACAATAATCTTCTTCGTTCCAATATTATTTAACTTTGAATTTCTAGTCTCCACTGTTTCTCTAGAAACAATGAAAACATGTTTCATTTTATCAAAAAAAAGCACATGAAATCATTTTAAAGTATGCACTAAGATGAGATAAAATTATTTTAAATAGTGGCTCATACGGTACCTTTCAACGTCAAAGGGGAAACAGAACTTTGGCACGCTCTGTAGTACTTCCTACAAATGCAAATTAAAAGAAGAAACAAGAAGCTTTAGAATGTTTTTTAAAGGTGCAGTTAAAATGCTGAGACATTTTCTAGGGGGGAAAATGTTTGCTGGGTTTTTTTCCCCCTGAAGAAAAATAGCACAGGTTCCTAGACTAAAATAATTGATTATTAAAAAGGAATTAAGTTTGTGCTTTGGCAGATTGCACTGACAATGCCACGGAAGCCCCAGGAGGGAAAGTCCTGGCCTGAAGGGTATTAACACCCTTCACATCCCGCTGGGATTCCCTTCAACAAGGCCATATGGATTTTACAGGAAGCACTGCACCATATGGGTAAGCTACGTCTGCTGCTACTTGTACCACAGACTAGCCATAGGGACTTCTGACAGATCCTGGCTCAAAAATATAAATGTTGTTTCAATTAAAATGCAGGCAGAGAAAAGGGAATGAAGTTGGCAGCTGAATGAATCACTGAGAGGTGTTACAATTCTACATGTCCCATACTCAAATGGTTTAACAATGAAAAAATTTTCTATAGAAAAAAATCATAACACTTGGAACTAAGTTTTATCTTAAATAATGAATGTATATCTATAAGCAAACCTTTACATTAAACTATAACATATATTCTGGGCACTTTAATTTAAAAATTGCTTCATATTAAAATCAATGTTTTATGTAGCATAGAAATAATCTGATTTTGAAACCTTCAATGATTTTGTACTAAAAATAATTTTTAAAAATTTCAGAAATCACAAGTTTTAACAATTATGAACAGAATGCAAAACATTGTCAGGTACTCAGAAAGAAAGAAAGAAAGAATAAATCTCACTAGATCTGAAAATTTACTTCAAATTAACTGACTCAAAAGCTAAACTTCAGAATTGAAGACAATATCATACAAATTCAAAGCCCTGGTGATTTTAGAAAACAAAGCAAAGATGTATGAGGCTATTTCCTATTAAAAATGGGGAGAAAAGCAAATATCTTCATCATCCCCAATAAAAATACTTTAACAACCACCTCTTCAGCAATAAAACTAATACCTTGTGAAATCATCAATATCAAATTTTTAAACCCAACATATAAATATAGTGCTGAGTAGAATGTCTTGAATTCTCTCAAAGTGTACACTGCAATAGAATAACAATAATAAAACATTGTAGAATTCCTATATCAAGATCTAAGAAAGCTCCAAAAGCCTTAACTCACGGAAGCAAAAAGGAAAAGCCTGGTGTAAAAAAAAAACCAGCACACTTCTACCCTTAAGGGCATTGTACCCAGGCTTCCTTATGAGCATGGACCTTTAAATGCAAGAGCACAGGCCCCATATCTGGAGAAAGCTATTTTACTACTGATAATATATTGTTAAATTTAATTACAGGAGTCACCAAACTGGAAGTAAATTACTAAAAAATAGTTCATCACAAATAAGAATAGTTTATTTTTACTTGACTGTTGCTTAATCTTTAACTTGTGCTGCATCAAGTGAAGCCATTCAATTTACTACAGACATGAACATTATTCAGATATCCTCCTACAAAACTGCATATGTAATTTCTATAATAGTCTAAATCCAGGGTCCACCTATAAATATATCCAAATTAGTCATATATGTCACATCAATGTTAAGACTCAAATTAAGAAGGAAGCTTCTCAGTTAGTTGCTCAGTCTTTCACACCACCCCCCTCCTTTTTTCCAAAAGCAACACACATGCACACACTTCTGCAAAACAGCCTCAGCTCGCTTCCCAACTGGCAGAAGCATCCCTCAGGGGACAAGTCTTTAAACCTCCGCACTCTTTAAAATTCAACCAGCCAGCAGGTCTATAGACTAGTGTATAAACAGTATAGACAAAAAAATCCTCTCTCAGCTTATGTCAGTGACAAAGCAGCTCAGCAGTTGACTGTTTCTCCCCTGACAGTATAAGCAGGGTTTACACAGATCAATAGCTGGAAGTCCTACCTAGCTCCCAGGGCTCGGTTTTCTTCCTTAATTACAGGTGCTATTCAAACTGAAGTTGTAAAAGAAAAGAAAGAGAGTTGGAGGGAGGAATAAATATTCAAACAGTTTTTTCAACGCTTTTAGCAATAGCGCTAATTGAAAATTTTATTTCTACATTTATTGGGGAAAATGCTCATAAATGGCTGATACTTCCACCACACAGTTTTTAATATGACACATATGCATGCACACACAATTCTAGATTTGCATTCACAGATTACATGAAAGGTTTAAGGCAATGCTTTCTAGAAGTTATCAGTTTCCTGTTTCTACAGGCTTTCATTTTTTTAAAAAGATTTCCTTAGCCAATTTCCTTATTTAGAAGTTCCAGAACTCCTAACTCTCCTGAATATATTATTCTTATATAAAAGAACATATCAGCTAACACATATCAAATGATAAAAACAGAAATAACAAGAGGAATAGAACAGAATACAAAAATATGCATAGTAAAATACAAGCAGCAATAATAAATGTCTGTTTAAATCTTAAAAACAAGACATCTATTATCATATTAATGACTGTAGACAAGGACTAATGAAAATTTATATATTTCTTGGTCCTATGTCAATCTTATAAAAGAGAAGAGAATTAACTGATAGTGCTAGCTTTTTATTCTATGAGGTTACCATTTAACATTACAAATTGATCAAGTAATACAAGCATTTCAGAAAGAATTCGCCTTTAAAAAAAAACAGTAAGTTCCATAACTACAAAGGTATCAGAATTTCTCTGGGAAAAAAAAAAAAAAGAAAAACTAACACGAAATGAGATTTTTCATAGTGGATATCAGTAATCATTTTTTTTTCCTCCTCAACCACTTCGACTCCTACTCTATATTGAAATACTAGTGTTCTCTGAAGTTCCATATTTTTCTCTTCCCTACTCATTAAGGAGTATCTGCACCTTATCTATACGTAGGGTTTCAAAACTACAACTACTCTTCATCTTATACTTTGGACATATCTTTGAACTCCAGGACTATATGCCTACCAACTTTCTGGTATCACTTTCCAGATAGTCCCAGATACCTCACATTATGTACAAAACAAGTTGTTCTTTGAGTTATATAGTGCTTTTTATCTAGAATGACAGCACCATCTACCCAGTTACCTAAGCCTAAAACATGGAAGTCATCTAGACACCTCTTTTTTCCTTGGCCTCTCCATATAAACCATCATTCACCAAATCCTTTAATTCAGTTTCATAACTTATTCCAAAAGTTCTCAATGGGGGGGAAAGGTTTAGAAGGAAGATGAGAACAGAATCACTTATGTTTTTCAAAACACATTTGATTACTTATACTGCAATCCCCCAAGGGTCCTGAGTTTTTTGCTTCAGTTTGAATAGCATCTACAGTTAAGGAATAGAAATAACTTTATCAGCTAAGAGTATTTAACACATATATAAACAGAGAGACAAGGCAGACTTGTTCAAGGACTGTTTAATTCAACATGGTCCTCAAGGACTCCTTCTGCTACGCTGTGCTGAGTCTCCTAGCTTTGTCCTCAACTACTTCTCTACTCATGGTCACTGAACAAGCTAGCAAAGTTCAGAACATCACACCAAGACACAACGGCAATATAGCAGTATGCAGTGTTTAATATCAGTGAGGAAACCTTTCCCCACCCCTGACTTTCCCATTGTATCTAATTAGCCACAGGGTTACCAATCACCCTAAACTAATCACTGACAGGAGCACTAGCTACCTATGATCAGTTTTGCCTTAGACTGGTTAGAGAAAAAGTCAGAATTCAGACCCACTCACATTCTAACAACTATGACACATGTAATTATAAAGAAGTTTGGGTGAAGCAACATTTTTCTCCAAAGAATCCTGAAAATCAAATTAATCAGATAATAAAATTTTCACTAAAGTTCTCAAGAAAAATATATCACAATGTTATAAAAGGACAGTTTTCAAATATCCATGATTTTATTTACATGAATAACACTTTCAGAATAATTTTGCAAAAACAAAAGGTTCACTTGTCATATTAATTACATTTTTCACAAAGGCCATAGATTTCTAAAAAGATGACTGCTTAATTTTAAGTACTATCTTTCCATATAAATGAGAATTAACACCATGTATTCCTTCAATCTATATGTGTTTTATATAAGAGAGTAATAAGGTTGTTTTTTTTTTTCTTAAAGGAAACATTTACTGAGTGACACAGCCATGAGCAGGTTGCATAATGCAGAACTGAAATTCCCAAACTGTGCACTGAAATATTTCAGGGCATAATAGCGAACTATCAGGGACACTACCAGATATTTAAATTTTCCAGGAAAACACACACACAGTTTTAATAAAAAGGTGATTATTTACTTTTTTTCTTTTTCTTTGTAGTGTTAGGGATCAAACCCAGCACCCTGTATATAATGAGCAAGTGTTCTACCACTGAGCTACATATACCCTCAGCCTCCTAACAGAGTGATTAAATTAGAAATGCATTTATCAAAACTTTTTGATGAATTTTATTATTAATAAATTAAAATAACTGCCATTGGGCTGAGGATGTAGCTCAGTTGGTAGAGTGCTTGCCTTCCAAGTACAAGGCCCTGGGTTCAATCCCCAGCACCACAAAAACAAAACAAAACAAAACAAAAAATAACTGCCTTGAAATAAATACAATTATTTTTAAAACTGCTAAGAAATACAAATTTCAAAAATTTTAATTCTATATGTATCAGTCTTAGGTGATAAGATCTACTCCGTCTCCTATCACTTCAGTTTGATCTAATGCTAATGAAATAGCCCAGATCCAATGCAATGCAGGAGACTGGGTGTGGTGGTACACACCTGTAATTCCAGTGATAGGCTAAGGATGAGACAGGAGCATCACAAGTTGGAGGCCAGCCTCAACAATTTAGCAAGATTCTCAGTAACTTAGAGAGACCATGTCTCAAAATAAAAAAAATTAAAAGGGCTGGAATGTAATTAAGAAGTAAAGCACCCCTGGGTTCTATCCCCAGTTCCCCCACCCAAAAGGCAGTGCACAG